CTCCTAACACCCTAGAGCTCTGGAGGCTACAGGGACATGAGGGTGGATCCATAGAAGGACCCTGTGAGACCCTGGTGCCACCCACCCAGAGATGAGGATCTGGAGAGTACAGAAAACCAAAGACCTCAGAAACATGCCCCCTGTGGCCTAAAGGCTCTGCCAGCCAAACCTGTTCCCTGACAGAGGCTGCCATCTTTCCTTACCTACTTTGAGGGGACCAAGCCTCTCCCTGGACACAACTCCATAGTGATGGCTATGGGAGACCCTGGTTGGAAAATGAAGCATTGTGGGACATTGTCCACTTTCCCAACATACTCCAGGGCCCATCTTAGCCCTTGGCGGGTTTGGGAGAGGAGGGGAGGGAGGGTTGGTGCCGAGAGTGGGAGCCAGGCCCATCGAGGTCCCAGGAGTGAATGCCGCATTGTTGGCCAGGCCAGAGTCACAGATAATTACCTCAATTAGTGACAATGGGAGAGTAATAAATACAGGCTTAGTGTCTCCTACCCCACCAGGGCTCCGAAGATTAATCCAGGCTGACGGGCGGGCCCTGAAAGGCGTGATGGACAATTCATTAAACTCCCCAAATGCCGCACAACCTGGGCGTGAAGGCTGAGTTAGCCCCCTGGGGGCTGCGCCTTTGTCCTGATTGTGTGTCTCCGCCACAGCAGAGCCAAGCAGCCCCCAGAGAGCCGGGAGGTGAGTGGGGCTCCCCCAGCCGGGCCAGGCGGCGGGGGGATTAGGCCTCGGTCCGGCCCTGGTTGCCCTGGCACACTGGCCCGGCCGGGCTGGAATGTCCGTGGGGGGGAGCGGGCCGAGCGGAGAGGCGGGGCCGACAAGGTGGGGTAAGGGGGGCACACAAAACCAGGGGCAGGAGGAGTTAATTAGACGCCAGCCGAGGAGGGCGAGGGGCCACAATAGGGCCGAGGGGCTGCCAAGGACGGCCCCTTCACTTCCGAGGAGGATTAATAGGGAGGAGAGAGAAGGGAGGGGCTCGGCTATAGGGAGGAGAGATGGAAGCTTCACAGTGGCACTGCCCCCTGTTGCCCAGCTTGGCACCTACTCGGCAAGTGGCTGGGAGGCAGGAGGCCCTGGCAGCCTGGCAGGTACATTTAGCATCCCACGGAATGGCTCTTTCTTCCTCACATGGCACCTACAGGGGGAGAAAGTTTGGACAGGGAGGGGAGAAAGGACCCCCTCATGTATCAGGGAAGTAGTGGAAGTAGGAATGTTTAGGGGCCTAAGACCCCCTCCACCCATCCCATAACCTACTCTGAGGCAGAACCAGGAGCCTGAAGCTTTACCTTTCCTGATGAGGCTGCTAGGTTAAAGCCGGGATGTCCCAGAGGGGCTGGAGCTGACACAAACACGTGGGAGTGGGGAGGTGGGCGGTGTGTGCGCGCACATGCCCGTGCATTACACTTGTGCGTGCAGCTGTGCCTGTGCACGGGGCCTGGCATTCGGCAGGCCCTTAGTAAATGCCTGAATGAATGAATGAATTTCTGAGAGTAAATGGGTGTGAGAAAGAGAAGTGGCACTGGGCTGCACCATGACAGATGAGTTGCTTTGGGACCTTTCATTCTGAGCGTCCAGCCATGGCCCAGGGAAGGTGGGGACCCCATCTCTGAAGTGATGAACAAATGTCCAGGGAAAATGGACAGTGGTTCCTTCAGCTTGAAAAGGGCAAAATAATGCAGTAGCCTCTTGGAAGTCCCCCTTCCTCCTGGGCCTCAGGGAACAGGGCAGCCCTGGCTCCTCCCTAAGAGCCACCCCACCCTACCCCCTCCCAGGGGATGACAAGGGAGCGAGTTGGCGGCAGTTCCCTGGGCATATTTATAACCTGCTGCTCGCTCACCAGCTCACCAGCGTCTGCTTTTAGCCCCAGACGGGGGAGGGGGCAGGGGGGTGGTCTGTCTCATGCTGGGCGCCCCGGCTGGGTGTGGAAAGAGTGAGTAAGGGTGAGTGGTGGGCAGCTCTGCATGGATATTCCTGCTCACACCACAGCCAAACAGCTTATTTTCTCCTCATTTTGTTATTTTTCTCCCTCTGACCTGGAGAGGACTGAGCCAGCCTGGGGTGGGGAGAGGGGGAGGGGAGGCTGGACCCTAGGGTATTTGCAGCCCCACTGACAGGGTTTTTCCAGGGTGCGTGAGGCAGGGTGTGTGTGGTGCCAGCTTGCTGACCCCCCAGGGATCGTGCATGGCCTGCCTTCTCAGTCTTCTCAGCTTTTCCGCTCCCCTCAGGATATTTCAGGACCAGTCCCTCCCTCACTTGCTGAGGACAACCTTGTGTCCAGGGTCCCTGCCAGCCACAGATCCCCCTAGGTGTATGGCAACATCAGAGGTGGGTGAGAGCTGGAGTATCAGGCACATTCCTAATGACACTGTCCTATAGCCACTACCCTGAGCCCGCTCTGGGCCCTGAGACTTTCATGAATTCTCTTTCTAGGCACAGCTGTTCTCTCTCCAGGATTTACCCACTTTAGCCCTGTGTGAAGACAGCACAGATAATCATAATAACAAAGTAATTTGCTCCTATGTAGTGCTTTGCAGATCCTACAGCCCTTTTACTTACTTTTTAAATTTATTAGCGCATGTCCCGTTGAGGGCCCAGCTTCACTCTGTACTCCCCTGCAACACCACCTCCGAAGTCCCAGCCCCTGGAAGAAAAGGGCCTCTGTGCTGAGGGCTTGCATATGGCAGTCTGTCCTTAAACTTCATGCATGTGCAGTAAGGTTTATACTTTCCTGAGCCTTCATTGCACTTCCCCCACTATACTGAAAATGTTTTAACACCACCTCCGAAGTCCCAGCCCCTGGAAGAAAAGGGCCTCTGTGCTGAGGGCTTGCATACGGCAGTCTGTCCTTAAACTTCATGCATGTGCAGTAAGGTTTATACTTTCCTGAGCCTTCATTGCACTTCCCCCACTATACTGAAAATGTTTTTTGATATGCTTGATTCCCTGGCCAGACTATAAACTCCACCAAGCAGGCACTATGGTATCACTGCCACATCACTGTAACGCCAACATTTGGCATATGCCCGGTACAGAAGAGGTGTCAGTAAGTGTTCATATGACCCAAGCTTTCATGTGAAATATCTTATTTAAACCTCATCACCTCCCTGAAAAATAAGATAGGTAATGGTAACCATCCCTCTTTAATAGGCAAGGAATCTTAGGCTGCGAAAGCGAGAGATTTGTTGACAATCTAGCTAGGGGCAGAAAAGAGTTCATTATTTTCTCTTACTCTTCTTCCAGCTTCTGTGTGTCAGTTCAGCCTAGAGTCCCCCAACTTCCAGGCCTGAAAGGTGATACTGACTCTAATTCTTGGAGTTAGGATTTAGGTAAGAGTGGTCAGCTGCCAACCCTTTGACTCCCTTCCCTGCTTCTTCTTCCCAACTCTGGGCATTGTCCAGCAGGGGCCAGGGCCCTCTCTCCCATCTCTGGCAGCCCATTAACTTTGGGAGTTGGGGCTCTAATAGCTCTTTCGGTTATAGACTGAGCAGTCTCTGCAGGTTGTTCTTTATTGAAAACCCAAGGCCTTTCAGGTGCCTCCTACCAAGGATCAATAAGGTTTTTATTCCTCCCTGGAGGCTGCCCATCAGAGCTAAGGTGGTGCTAGCTTGGTAGATGGAAAGAGAAAGGGATGTGCTTGCAGGGTTGAGCAGCTCCTGGCTCCACTCCCCTACCCCCACACATATCCCAAAGGCCAACAGGGGTCAGAGTTCACACATCCAGGGAGAGGTGGGAGGCAGTGACAACAGAAATAAGTCCTGAGGAGAGGAGGAAATTCTCCTGTCTGCTGGGACCAGTTGCTGCCCTTGGGGGTTGAGGTGCTTCATAGCTCCCCCTGTCCTTCCGGTCCTCCCCTCAGGGGAGCAGTTAGGATTAGGGAAAGACATTAGAGTTTAGGAAGGGGTTTGTGTTTGTTTTAAATTAGGGTTAAGGCTAAGGTTTGACCTAGACCTAGGACAGGGAGAGGATTAGAGTTAGAGATAGGTTTCTGGCTACAGGCAAGATTAGAACTCCCGCCAGCTCTGGTGCATGTGCCCTCGTACTAGGGCTGTTAGTAACAGAATCCTCATTCTGGCTCTTTATTGGAATGCCTAGCTTAATGGTTTGGTTATGGACCACACTTAGATTTCCTTTTGGTTATATTGGTTTAAACCTAGTCTGTATTTGGATTCTAACCCTCCTGCTCCATTCTTCTCTCCTACCATCCTCTCTGAGCTTTTGAGTCCAGGACTAGAGCCCATCACCTGTTGCATTGGTTATGGACCACACTTAGATTTCCTTTTGGTTATATTGGTTTAAACCTAGTCTGTATTTAGATTCTAACCCTCCTGCTCCATTCTTCTCTCCTACCATCCTCTCTGAGCTTTTGAGTCCAGGACTAGAGCCCATCACCTGTTGCCTGCACCCTCCTGAGGCCAACGTTGGGCGCTGGTGTCCTAATAAAGTGTTTCCCTGTCTTGTGGAGGTGGGGATCTTCACCACTATCCGATGTCCTGACCACAGTTGAAGAAGAGAGGCTTCAGGGAACAATAGCTCTTCATGGCGACACCCTTTCTGCTTGGGTTTCTCTTCCTACGTTTCAGAAAATGGTCATGGCTATCACTCAATCGTAGCTATTTTCACAACTCCTCCAGGCAGGAAAAGCAGGCTTGGAGTTTCCCTATTTGTTTAATCCCCACTCACCAAGTGAATGCACTTGCCACTATCACACTACCAGTTGGTGTTAGAATAGGAAGAACCCTGCAGTGTCTTTTGGCCCTTGACCAGGGTTTTCTCTCGGGAGAACTGGATCCTCGGTGGCCTCATTAGGGTCATGCAGGGGTCAGAATCTCAGGGTCCTCTTGCAGGGCCAGGAAACCAGTCCCCCAGTGATGTACACTACTTGTTTAAAAGAAGTAAGCACCCAAGCCTGGGAGTGGTAAGAGGAGGGGGAAGGGGACCCTACAATGTTGTGTTCTGAATTCAAGGAAAAGCCACCAAGTCATTGATAAAAATAGAGATTTTATTCTGCAGAGGAAGATACTACATTGGTGGGGGCGAGGAGCCACTAATAGCCACAGTGGAAGGAAATACTGATTCCGGTAGGCAAAGGCATCTTTGAGAAACTGGGGAGAGAAGAAGACGGACCAGAAAAGGCTGGAGGACAAAAGGGGAGAAGAATGGAGAGGGACAGGGTTGGGGTGGAGGTGGTCTCTGCAAACCAGGCTGGAACCCAGCAAAATAAATAGTTTTATTTACAACAACCAAACTCGTGGCTTTGTATCCACGTTTCAGTGCAAATTATTTACACACTGATGAGGAGGCAGGACAGGAAGGGGTAGGAGGTGGCCGAGGGAGGCATGGCTCACAGCTGTTCAATGGCTCCAAGACAGAGGCTTAGGGAATGGGGACATTTCTACTGGGTCCCCCAACCTCATTTTCCACATCACCACAGCTGCCCTTTCACCCTGAAACCTCCCCTTTCAGCTGCAGGTGGAGAGGAGAAAGGCCCTGATGCCCAGGTGTGTGTTCAGGGTCTGCACCCTTGACAGAAGGATGGGAAGGGACCTTTGGGACCCGGAGATAATGGAGGACAAAGGGAAAAGAGAGAGGCAGAGAGGTCGCTGGCATGGTGGAGCAGAACAACACCGTCAAGAACTGACCTGGGTTGGGGAGGGGACGAATCCTTCTCTCACCTCCTGGCCAAGCAGGGGGCAGTGCAACAAGGGGTCTCCCGCGGAGAGGGAGGGAGGTAGGTCGGGGCAGGTCCATCAGGATGGCAAGAAGGTTCGTGCCACCCCAGGCAAGTGGTTTGAGGAGTCCCCAGGTAGGAGGAGGTGGGAGAGGTGGCATACGTATGTACTGCGGGGAATGTGGCTGGAGGTACCGAGGTGGGCAAATATCAGGGTATTGAGTGCCAGTGAGTCTGTTGGAGGAGAGCTTGAGGGGAGCGTTCCTGGCGGCGAGTCCGCGCAGCGCCTCACAGACACTCGTGCAGAACGCGCGTGTGCGTGCAGTTGCGGCAGCTGACGTGGCAGCACCAGTGGAAGGTGCAGTTGCAACGCTCGGTGACGCGCTGCGTGCGCGTGCGGTGGCCCCGACCACAGCAGAGCAGCTCGCAGCCGTCCAGCGCCGGCGACGAGCTGTTGCAGGCGCGCCCCGCCGTGCCTGCCGTACCCAGGCGTCCGCTGTAGGTGCAGAAGTTGGGCGATTTCTCGAAGTAGACGAGGTCATGGGGAGAGGGCGGCTTGTGCGCCGGATCTTCTGGCTCGAGGCGCAGCAGCTCCGCCCGCGAAGCGCGGTTGCTGCCGCGGTTGCCGTAGAGGACGCGCGAGGCGCCGTCGAAGCGGTCGCGCAGCACGTCGCCCACGGCGCGCAGCGTGGGAAGCCGCATCCAGCACGTGCGCACCGTGCAGGAGCCTGACATCCCGTGGCACTTGCACTCCTGGCGCATCTCGGAGAACACGGTCTGGGAGGAGGGGGAAAGAAAGGGTGTCCTAGGTCACTGTCAGAGCCAGAGCCACCATCCCAGGGACCGCCACCTCCAGGACGCCGCCGGGACCTCAGCAAAGGCCCAGAGAAGGGAGGCGCGAAATATCCCGCTGAGATTTGGACCCCGGGCCCAACTCTGCTGCACGCCTGCGAGTCAGTCTCGGCCTCACGGCCTTATTTTTCGAGTCTGTACAGTAAAGGAGCTGTAGGCAAGACATTCTATGGGTCGCATGACTTCTAACCTCTTCTGTTCTACATGCCCTCAGCGCAGGCACCCGTTTGCCCTCAGCCACTATCTTTTCTATTCTCCGGCTTCGTTCCAAGCCTCCCGCTCTCTCAGGACGCCCTCTCCTGGTTCCCCTTGCCTTATCACCGACTGTTACTTCCCGAGCCCGAGGTTAGCCCCTGCCACTCTGCTTCGAGTGCGGAGCCTCTCAGTCCGGCTTACCGTGCGGCCCGCCTCGTTGTTGTGAAGGTTCATGAGGAAGCGCAGGTCCCGCCCCTTCTCCCCGGAGTCCACGAACTCCCGGCCGAAGAGGCGGCCGAAGTCGATGTTGTCGCTGCAGCCCCCCCAGTGCCAATCGGGGCCCCCGGGGCCGCGCCGCCGGTAGTCGCATGTGCAGGACTCGATGGAGCCCTCTGAGCAGGAGCGCGCCACCGAATGGGTGACCCCGGCGGAGGTGATGGCGAAGATAAACGCTGTTTCCCGACAGCCTGTGGGTGAAGAGAGCGGATATCAGCGAGTGGGTGCGCAGGGCGCCAGGTCAGCATCTTCACTGGAGGGCTTGGGACCTTGGAGTTCCAGGCCTCAACTCCGCTCTCTGGAGCCTGCGGCCGGCAGTGTTGGAAATCCGGTCTCTAGGTCTCCTAGAGAAAGCAGGTGCGTGGGCACGCACCCACGTCCAGGCTAATCATGCCTTACTGAGACTCTTCAGGTCGCATTTTGACTCTAGAGAGCAAGCGAGGCAGCCCTAGAGAGGAAAACCGAAAGGAGGGGAGCGGAAGAACTCTTGCATCGCCAGACCCCTCTGCAGCCCAAACTTTCGGTCCACATTGGCGATGCACCTTGCTGGGCAGGATGCAAGACACACGCCCGCAGAGAGCAGCTTCCCAGGCGCCTTTGAGAGGGGCTAGGGGAAAGTGGTGATCAGCCGGCGTTCACTTCCCGGAACTCCCTTTCTCTGGGGCAGTGGCTCAGAAAAGTTAAGCTTTGTGCCTAAAGTACACGGCTGGAAAGCACCTGGTGGAAAGAGTCCGGCCCGGAGTTGGCGCTGGGCATGAGGCGCTTGGCGGGTTGATTTTGTGACCCCTCAGGCGCCCGGGACATCTTCCCTGTACTCGCCCGCCCATGCTCTGGGGGTGACCCTGTGTTTCCCCTGGTACCTGAACGTCACCTTCTTGGGCACCCACCTCGGTTAACGATCTTGCCGAAGAGGTGGGGCCCCGGAGCAGTGGGGCAGTTCCAGCGGCGGTTCCGGAACTGCCACTTGCACTCGCGCACGGCGCTCTGCAGCCCCCCGCTCACGCTGTGCAGGATCCCGGGGTTCTGGCGGATCAGCCGCCGCTGTTTGCGGCTCAGCAGCTGCAGACTGGGCTCCAGTACCAGCTGCAGACTCTTGGAGTCGGTCAGCAGGTTCGTGGAGGAGGCTACATTCACGATGCCCCTGATGGGACGCATGAGAGGAGCTCAGACTTGGGAACGGGACTCGCACCCTAACCGTAAAGGCCGTGCCCACCCCGTTCTCTTCGTTGGGTTATGTGCCAGGAGAGAGCGGCGGGAGATCAATAGCAAGGTAATGACTCCGAGCTCCCGGGGGCTCACTAGTTTGAAAGAAGTGAGCGTCCTGACTTCTGTGTGCGCAGGAATCCTAGGGCTGCTCAGAGCCCTGGATCCGGGCACTGGACAGAGAAGGCATGCGGAACCCAGAGACTGAGTGTCTACCTTGGCTCTCCGAGCCTCCTTCCAGTCAGCCTACGCGGGAAATCTTGGCCTGCAGTCCTTGCCCACCCAAGGCATGAAATGCTTAGGAGTCCCACTTTCTTCTCGCCTCCTTCCTAAGGGAATGCCTGGCCTTTCGCTTCCTGAGGTGAGGACACCTGTGGTGTGGACACCACCTTGAGGCTGGGGTTGGGGCTCAGAGGGGAAGGGCGGTGCTAGATAGCAGTGGGCTCCCTGCCTGGGGTACCGTGGGCCTCCGCGGGCGGATCATTTGTCTAACTTCAGCAGAGCTGGAGTCTCTGGGGCAGCTCTCTGCCAGAGCGCCCCTCGGTGTAGCATAAGGAAGTCACAGCGCAGGAGGGAGCCTGTTGGCAGACGGATCCCAGAGCGTGGGAGCTGGGTAGAGTTGGCCCCTGGCTCTGCGCCCCGGGACAAGTGGCTACCCCGCACCAGCTCACTTACCACCATCGGCCACTGCTGTTGGCGGCCAGGGCTGCGGGCAGAGCGGCCAGCGCTAGCAGTAGCATAGCAGAGACCCAGCCGGGCAGCAGCGCCCAGTGCCCCATGGCCTGCCTGGCCTTGCCCGCTCTGTGCTTCAGTTGCGGCGGTTTTGGCTGCTGCCCGCGACGGTGGGACCGGACGCGGTGGTGGCGGCAGTGGCGAGAGTTCGCAGTCTGGCTTTAACAACCCTGGGGGCGGGCGGCGGGCAGCATGGCTCGCGGTCCCGGCTGGTGGGCTGAGGCGGCCACGGCGGGGCGGCACCGCCTCTTATAGTTGCGGCGTTGGCTGAAGTGACGAGAGGAGGCTACCCCGCCGGGCCGCACTGTGGCACCAGGGGCGCCCCGGTCAGGGGCGCAGACAATGAGCAGCGAGCGGGGTCGTGGCTCCCGCCCGTCTGAGCCGAAAGCTGACAGGCCGGCCGTCGGGGCTCACCCCCGCCCCCTGCCAGGTGGCTCCCGCCTCTGGGCCTGCACTGGCCGCCGACCCCTCCCCTTGGGACGCCCTCCCACGCGCGCCTGCCTCACTCCTTTTCGAGTCCGGAGCCCGTCGGGGACCAGAATCCGCCAGGGGGCGCAGCGACAGCGTACTGAGGGAGCCCTGCCTGTGGTGGGGCTGTCCCCTAGACGTCACCCCGGACCAGGCAGGCGCCCCCTCTCTCCCATCCTGTGTGGCAGAAGGAAAGCTGTGGTTCAGGGCAACAACTCTGGGGAGACGCTTCCCCACCCTGGAATCCCCGACGGCTGGACAGAGAAGGAACAGGGGGAGACTGAGGGCATGGGTGGGGCTGTGGTCAGGGAAATCCCGGGGGTGGATTGGGGGGGGCGGGTGAGCTGACCAAACAGCCTGGCGGTGGAGAGAAACCTGAACAGCAACAGAGGCAGTTTGCGCACGGGGGGCAGAAGGAAGGCACAGGTAGCTGTGTGTGTGTGCTGTGTAACACTGTGAACGTGAGCACGATTGAGAACGATGTGCGTGTGTTCTGAGGGTGCACGCTCATGGGTATCAGTGTGTTCTGGGGAGGGGGTGTAGGAATCTTTCCACAGAATTTTGGAATTTAGCCCAGGTCAGAAGAGGTCATGGAGTCATCTTGTCACAGTCACCGCCTGGAGCCGTGTGTCTGGACGGTGGTGGCGGCTGACAGGAGAGACCCAGAAGCTTGACTAAAGGATGGAGAGTGTCTGGGACTGTATGTGGAAGTGGGTGGATGAGTGTGTGCATGGAGAGATTAAATATGCATGTGTGTGTCACTCTGTCACCCTGTGTACCTTGCATCATCGTATGGTGTGTCACCCTGTGGCATGTGTCAACCTGTGCTTGTCATTGGGTGAGGGAGCTGAGCCTACAACCAAGATGGATCAAAATGGACCAGGCCTGGAGGAAAGGCTGAGTTTCTGAGGATGGGCATTGGAGAAGATGGAGTAGATGTGTGTGTGTGTAGTCAGGAGGACTGGGAAGAAAAGTGCTGTTGGCTGAATTGAACCTGTGTGAGGGAATTTGTGCCTCCATGTAATTGCTTCTCTCCAGATTTTTCTGCCAAGTTTCTGTCTTTTCCCAGAGCTATGGTTGTCTCTACTTTCACCGCACTATGATACCCAGAGTGCCTGGGACCATCTCATCCATTATACATTTTATCTTCTCTCCCAGGGACTCAGCTTCAGTGCCGCCTTGGCTTTTTATAGAAGTGGTTGCTCTTCCCTGTAGGGGCCTAAGGGACACTGCCAGCCTGGTTATCATGGCCCACCACACACAGATGGTCCCTGGAAGGAGGGAAGATCTCCTCCTTTACATCTGCTGTGAATTGATTGAATTGTGTCTCCCAAAGTTCATATATTAGAAGCTTAATTCCCACTGTAACTGTTGAGGATAGGAAATCCTATTATGGCAATTGAAAGGTGGGGCTTTTAAGAGGTAATTTAGCTTGTGCAGACCATGCCCTACTGAATGGATTAATAATGGTGCTCATGTTATGGGCGTGGTTCTGAGGGCTTTAAAAGGAGAGCCTCTCCTTTTAAATGAAAAATGAGAGTCTCTCTCTCTCTCTGCTCTACCACCTTCTGCCATGTGAGACCCCTGCATTGCTGTAAAGCCACCGCCAAAGAAGACCCTCACCAGATGTGTTCCCTAGACTTTGGACTTCCCAGCCTCTGAAACTGTAAGTGATAAGTTTCATTTTCTTACAAATTACCCAGTTCTGTGTATTTTGTTATATGCAATGGAAATGGACTAATACAAAAAATTGGTACCAGAGAAGTGGGGTGTTGCTTATAATAAATACTTGAAAATGTGGAAGTGGCTTTGGGACAGCGTGTTGTGGAGATGCTGGAAGAATTTGGAGAGGCAGGCTAGAAAAAGCCTAGATGCTGGTGGGAGTTTAGAAGGCAAGAAAACCAGGGACAGTTTGGAACTTCTTAGAGACTAGTTAAATGGTCATGAGCAGAACGTTGATAGACATATGGATAGTAAAGGCCATACCAAGGAGGTCTCAGATGTAAATGAGAGGTACTTATTGGAAATTGGGGCTAAGTTCACCCTTGCTATGAACAACAAGGTACTTGGATGCTTCTGTTCATGTCCAAAAGTTTTATGGAATGTGGAACTCCTAGGTGCTGATTCAGGGTATTTGGATGTTATTTGTTTTGCTTTTGGTGGCTGAGTGGTACAGAGATTGAACCCTGGACCTTGATGTTACGACCCGAGGTATTTGGTGGAAGAAATTTCTAAGCAGCAAAATATTCAGGAAGCTGCATGGCTACTTGCAACAGCCTACACTGAGTTATGGTGGCAAAGGCATGACATAAAGCAAGAATTTATAATTAAAAAGGAAGCAGAGTGTAAAGAGTTGGAAAACTTGCAGCCTGGCCATATAGTAGAGAAGCAGAGAGCAGTTTCAGGAGAACAATTCAATGGTATAGCCCAGTGACCATTTACTAAGGAGATTAGTACAGAAGAAAGAGACTATGAAGAGAAGGGAAAAAAGACCTTGAAGGCATTTCAGAGATCTTGGAAGCTGCATCTTCCATTTTGGGCCCAAAGTCCTACAGAGACAGAATGGTCTTGGGGAACAGGCCTGAGATGCTCTCCATGGGCTTGCCATTGAGGGCCTCCTTGGGATGCTGCTTCCCACACCAGCACCCCAGCTGCTTTGGCTGCTCCAGCTGTGGCTAAATTGGCCCCAGGTATGGTTGGACCTGCAGCTTTGGAAAATACAAGCTGGAAGCCTTGGCAGCATCTATGTGGTGATAAGTTCGTAGGCTCACAAAATGCCAGAGCTGTGGAGGCTTGGGAACCTCCACCCAGATTTCAAAGGATGTATGGAAAAGGTTGGGGGCCCAGGAAGAGGTCTGTTGCAGGGGCAGATTCAATACATAGAGCCTTTGCTAGAGCAATGCCAAGATGAAATGTAGGATTGGAGTTGCAGCAGAAAAACCCCACCAAGGCCATGCCAGTGGAGCCATGGGAGAAGGACTGCCACAGAGACCACAGAATTGTGGAGCTACTAACACGTAACACAGCCTGCAAGAGCTGAAGCATGACTGAAGATCAGGAAAAACATAGAAGTGGGGCTGCCTGAGGACTTGGGGACCCAACCCCTTCACCAGTGTACAGAGGATATGGAACATGGAGTCAAGGTACATGATTTGCCAGCTGTGAGATTTGATGCCTGCCCTGCTGGGTTTCAGACTTTCTTAGGACCTGTTAGCCCTTCTTTTGGCCATCTTCTTCCTTTTGGAATGAGAATATGTACCCTGTGCTTATCCCACCATTGTGTCTTGGAAGTAGATCACTTGTTTTGATTTCACAGATGGGACTTTGAACCTTGAACTTTTGAGTCTAAACAAGTTAAGACTTTGGGGATGAAATGAATGTATTTACCTGTGAGAAGGACATACACTTTGGAGGCCAGGTGTGGAATGCCATGGATTGATTGAATTGTGTCCCCCAAAGTTCATATATTAGAAGCTTAATTCCCATTGTAACTGTTGAGGCTAGGAAGTCCTATTATGGTAATTAATTTTTTTTTTTTTAAAGATGACCAGTAAGGGGATCTTAACCCTTGACTTGGTGTTGTCAACACCACGCTCACCCAGTGAGCTAACCGGCCATCCCTATATGGGATCCGAACCCATGGCCTTAGTGTTATCAGCACCGCACTCACCCGAGTGAGCCACGGGCCGGCCCCCTATTATGGTAATTAAAAGGTGGGGTCTTGAAGAGGTGATTAGCTTGTGAAGATCATGCCCTGCTGAATGGATTAATAATGGTGGTCATGGGCGTGGTTCTGAGGGCTTTAAAAGGAGAGTATGTGAGAGTCTCTCTCTCTCTGCTCCATCATTTTCTGCCATGTGAGACCCCTGCATTGCTGTAAAGCCACCACCAAAGAAGACCCTTGTCATATGTGTTCCCTAGACTTTGGACTTCCCAGCCTCTGCAACTGTAAGCAATAAATTTCATTTTCTTACAAATTACCCGGTTCTGTGTATTTTGTTATATGCAACAGAAATGGACTAATACAACATGTCTCCTCTCTCCCCATTTTACAAAGGAAAAAATAGTTCCAGCAGTTGTCCAAGGTCCACAGCTAATAACTGAACAGTGGAAAAGCCAGTTAAAACCCAGAGCAGTTTGACTCAAAGCTCATGCTCTTTCCACCTTACCAGCTGCTTGCCAGTGTGTCACAATAGCAGGCTGGGGGCCCTTCTAAAATCGGCAGATAGGTAAAAATTATTTTTAGGACCTTCCTGTCTCCCTACTGGGTCCCCTTTTTTCATTTCCACTATCTGTTAGGATTCTTTCTGACTGAGTAATTTACCCAGGACTGACCCTGAAGAGTCTCAAGTCCCAGAAATGACCAGGCCTCCTCTCCAAGGCACTCTAAGGAGTAAATGCCTGACAAGCTTAATATTCCTGGGGCACTTGTGTTTTAAGTGAGATGTGTACTAACCCAAATAAAACCTGATGGAGGTTATTTTTGAGGGCAATGTATTTCCCAGACTCTTTGCCCAGCCCAGTGTACATGGCCCCTCCAAGAATACATCCCTGAGGAACAAGGTATACTGACCCAGCATCTTCCATGGGTCCAAAGGCCATAGTCTCTGCAGACAGCAGCCAGCATAGATGGTTCAAGTAAATGGACAATGTAACATAAGCAGCCTGTCATTCATCCCTTAGGAGTTTCTCCCCATTGGGGCCTGGGCCACGTGTTTTGGCCTGGTGGATTGATACCACCCCACGAGGGTAGATGGCGGGCTAGAAGACAGGGAAGA